GCCTCATTCAGGGAGGGAGCTTTGTCCCCGAGCCTTGTTGCTTATGCATCAGGAGTTTTAGGAAAGAGTTCTGACTGTTGTAGGGTGAACCAAGGTCCAAAGTTAGGGTTGTACGTGTCATTTATTGGGATACCTAAAACTGGGGAGTGCCATATTTATGTTGTACAAAAGTGAAAAGTAAGGTTGAGAGAGAGAGTTGAAGTAGTTTCCATGAGGTCACACAGCTAGTCAGTGAGGGGCACATCCCTCAAGAAAGCAGATTTAGAGAAATATCTTATGTAGTGCTCTTTTGATCACCGCAGGGCCTCAGTTGACTGCAGATTCATCTTGACCTCACTTCCTTGCCGCCCGGGAGCTGGTTCCAGAGGCAGGAAGCCAGTAACTGTGGAGATTTTCCTTTAAGTGGAGGGGCGGTGTTAAATTGTTCGTGTAAACCTTTGTTGCCTGAACTCACACGAAGTGAGTGTGGGGTAGGACGCAGCCTGCTCTAGGCGTGTCCCGTGCTTGGGGGGAGCAGGCAGGTGCGGTCTTTTTAGCCCATTTCATGCCGTCCTGGATTTGGGGGAGGACTGGTCACGTGGTGGACTTCACGCATTCTTCCCTGTGCCCATGGTTTAAGCTTCACTTCTGTACGCTGATGAAGATAGTCTAAACGTCCACACTCCAGGCCCCCTTTGACAGTAACAGAAGTGGATTTGCTTTTGTGTTTGGCTCTGGGCAGAACTGGAATAGTCTCCCCTTGGAGAGGGGTCAAATTGAGTATATGTACACGGAGCTTTGCTACATTAGGACGTGTGCCGTGTGTTCAGAATCAGTAGGCGGTTTTTCAGGTATTGGGCCTGCTCTGCTATACTTGCTAGTTGCCGTGCTGGAACGTCTGTCTTCTCTTTTTGACAGATTGAAACCATGTGATTACAGTTGAAAGTCAGGCAGGTAATGAACAGGATTAAAAAAAAACAAAACTGCTTTATTTTGGATTAATTTTATAGTTGACAAAAAGTTGCAAAAATACTACAGAGAGTTCCCCTCTAGCTTTAGCCTGCTTTCCTTAATGTTAACATCCAACATAACCGGAGTGCAGTTATCAAGAATGGGAGATTAACACTGGTACAGCGCTGTTGACTGATTTACAGACCTTGTTCAAATAATTGCCCCAGTTTCCCCGCTAACCTCCTTCTCCTGGCACACTCGGCAACAGGACAACACCCTCCTCTTTAGAAGGTGCTCCCCCCACCACGGCGCTTCAGCAGACCTGGAGCCGGCTTGGACAGGGGCCCAGATTAGGCCGGGGCCCACCTCGCGAGGAGGGGAGTCTGGGGGCGGGGGTTGGGTGGGCCGGCCTGCCTGCCTTGCGCTGGGCGTGGCTTCATGAAGGGAGGCCGGCCCAGGTGGGCCCAGGGGTTGCATCTCTTGAGGTGATGATTAAAGACCCTGATTTAAGTTACGTTCAGATTTAGGTTTATTTATCTGTTGCTTTAAGCCATTTCGGATTTTCAACCCAGCTACTAGAAGCACTTTTTACCAAGTTGAATTTCTGTCTTTGGATAGCTAAACTCTTTTCCCCCAGCCAAATTAATAAAATGGACTTTCTTATTAAGAATGAATTATTCAGTACAGTGGAAGCGCTGGGCAGTTGATGGTTTGTTTTCAAAGCCTCAGAAGTGCAGCCACGACCAGAGGTCACCAGGACAGGCCTCAGGGCCAGAGCCCGGGGCATTGACTTTCTCGTAGAGGATTCCAGGTGCACAGGCCGCCAGCAGTGCTGACTGGGCAGTGGAGTCCCATTTGTAACATGTTAGGTTAGGAAACAGACTGATTTACGCGTTGATGTAATGGATCAAGGCACAGTGTGTGCTTAAGAAAACGGAGAGCGCGTTAAATCAGAGCACTTTCACAGTAACAAAGTACAAACGTTACAGAAAAGACAGTCCTCTTATGGTCTGGGTAAGGTTGGGGTATGTCTACTTGCTTCCTAGACGTGGTCCACAGAGGCTTTTTATGTTTCAGATGACACCTTCTTGAGAGTCTCTTAGGACCACAAGGATGAATGTTTCTGAGCTCGGCAGTGAATCGCTGCAGCATCTTAGCGGTCTGGAACGACTCCAGTCCCTCCTTTTTCTCGGTGTAACTGATGTGAGGAGCCACCGCTGCCTCGCTGCCTCTTCTGTTGCTTTAACCCCCAGTATTTAGCTTCTCTTTAGGGAAGGCACTGCAGACCGACTCAGCACAGAGATCAAGTGCACTTACTCTGATGCACTGACCTCAGTGGTTGACCCATAAACTGAGCGTTTATACAGTTGGAACTCTTGCGGTCTCTTAGCCAGCAACCATAATGAGGAACGTGTGGAACGTAATCTTTGGTGCTGATAAATGGCTGCCGGCCCAGCTTTGACCACTCCACGGCTGTGGCTTGGGTGAGCTCACATAGCTGGTTGACACTGTTTCTTGCTTGTATTCATTTTTGGAATTTAGGAGGTAATGGTCCCCCCCTACACACACTTCTGAAAGATTAGATACCACACCCCAAATCCTCTTTGTTTAATAGGAGCCTTCAATGTTAAAATACACAAGGCCGTAGAGAGATTTTAGGAAATGCCGCTCGGCGTGTTTCAGCTTTGCTGTGGCAGCTCATTTATAGCCAATTTGGGAAACACGTTCCTGCTCATTGATTGGCTTTCTTGCTTACATTTCGTCATGTCTTCCTGGCTCTCCTTCATTTATTTCTGTCTGCGCACGTGAAGTAGGAAGGAACGGACCTGGGGAGAGCACTGGTTTCTGTCCACAGAAGCGTCTCTGCGGTTGTCTTTGTCTCTGTGTGTACCCCTTTCTCCACACACCCGTCTTCCTCCATGTCAGCATCCCGGTTTACAGCCATAATCCTTAGGGATGGCTCCCAAAAGAGAGGTGGCCATAGAAGAGGCGTTTGGGGACATCTGGAACTCAGTGTGAGAATTAAGCTCACTTTTCTTGTGCATCCTAAAACTTTTTAATGATTTATTTGAATTAAACATCGTTAGAGTGTTACCTACAAATAAGTTGTCTTCCTTTCCGCAGATATCTGTAAATGTTTTTTTTCTTTCTTTGGAGGGACAGGACTTCACTAGTCTTTGGCTTTGCCTGCAGTTACACTTAGGGCATAGGATCTGCCTTCGACTCTAGGAAATGATTATTCATCACAGTAGGGCTACAGTCAATTCTAGTTAATAAAGTTGCTAATTGTTCTCCTCATTGGATTTATTTGAGGTTTTTTTCAACCCCGATTGATCTTGGCAACATTTTAGTTCCAAGTCAGCTTTCTCCCAGCTATCCCACTAGTGTCACTGCTTCTTTCTCTTGTACTGCTAGAAAACAGGCTAATGTCAATGAGCTCCAAAGCAAAGTGTGGTAGGACGGTAAATTTGTCCTGGAAAACGATCGTAATGTGTTTCAAAATCAAAGTAGCCTCCTGATTGGAAGACCATTCGTGTCTGTGTAGTCCGTCAGCACAGATAAATGAGAGTTGCCTAGAAAGCACACGTTTCCGTGTATTTTAAAAAATCAAATGTACGTTTTCTTTTTAATAGGAAAGCCGTTTTATGTTAATGCTTTTTAAAAAGAACAACATAGTGGACCATACAATCTAAACCTGCCTCCCACATTTTAACATTTAAAAAGCCGTTTAATTTTTATCTTGGAAGAACTTTTACATTAAGAGAAACCACAAAACTCTGTTGTGGATGTAACCATCAGTATTGGTCTATATCTAGATGCCAGGATGCCTCTATTTTTCTAGTGCATGAGACTTTGCAAGAGCCTTACTGTCGTAATGCCTAAGTGTTATTTTTCACCTATAATTTGTGAGCTGTTAATGGCTGTGATGTTTTCACAACTATGAAATAGTTGATTATTTTTACTTAACGCAAGATAAAATTGTTCATGAAATCCCTTTTGGTGTTCAGTTTCCGTGAGTGTCACCATCCTTCACTGAGTAACGCACGCCAGACTTGGCGTGGTTCCCCCCCCCGCAGCTGGTTTGTTACTCACTCTTACCCGTTTGGCTGCCTGTTACCTCTTGCCTCTGTTCACCAGCACACTGCCGTGGCCCTGGCTCCCATTAGGGCACCCTTGAACTCTGTGCCCCTGGCTTCCTGAGTCGTTGCCCTGCATGCTCTCTGTCTGTTTTCAGTCCCTTTTCACCCTGCCACAGAGAAAACGTCAGAGCTGCATTTGGAAAATATTAACTTGACGCTTAAAACCGCTCAGCACTTCCAGCGATAAAGACTGAAGTCTTTCCTTGGTCTGCACACTGTCTAGTCTTGTCCCCGCTTGCCTCTCCTCCCTGCTCTTACCTCTCTCCACTCAGTCTGCATTCTCTCCACATGTGCTGGTCAAAGCTCTGCTCAACTGCCACTGTCTTCAGGCAGCTTCCCTGGTCACCTCCCTACACAAGCCTAAGTCAGAGTCCCCTTTTATGTGCTTCTTCAGCACTGTGTGCATTTCCTTCCTAGGACAGCTGGCAGTGTGATCACACTTTTTTCATGTGTTCACTCCTTCACTAGACCAGAAGCCCCAAGAGAGCGGTGGCCATAACTTTTTGCTCACCCTTGTGTGTCAGCATTGAGCATGTTGCTTTACAAAGTAGCTGCTCAATAGAATTTTTTTACGTGAGTGATTTGAATAAAATTACTGGAACATTAGCGATTCTATACTTTTGTCATTTGATATATCAAGGAGTGGAAAGTAGATTTGCTTGTGTTAGAGCAGACTGCAGTTGGATCAGAAGTGTCCAGATGGGGGAGTGGGGGTTAGATTTCTCATCTGCCTTTCACTTTGATCATGTATATCCAAAGGTCATTTTTTCTTCTGGCCTAGCTCTTGGGAAAAGGATTTGTTTTTGAAGATAAAATAGTAAAATAATGACGATTTTAAAAAGAACAGTTCTCCTATCACAAACCAATGAATGACTATGCCTTTCTGCCAACCCTTTTGGAGTAAACCTGGAATTTTTTCCCCTTTGGTAGGCTCTTGCAGCCAATGCTGGAACAGGATTTGCTGTCGCTGAGCCTCAAATTGCAATGTTTTGTGGGAAGTTAAATATGCATGTGAACATTCAGACTGGGAAATGGGAACCGGACCCAACAGGCACTAAGAGCTGCTTTGGAACAAAAGAAGAAGTTCTTCAGTACTGTCAGGAGGTAAGAGTGTTGCCAGAAAGTTAAACTGCTTTGTTTCTAGGTCGAGTTTGAACGTATTTACCTTAGAAGTAGATATTCTATCATTCTTCTCTTTTGACCTAAGACCAAGTTGCTCATGGCGGGAGCAGCAGGCCCTTCATCCCTAAGTGTGTGAAAGAATCAAGATTCTAAAAGACTTCAGCTCTGTGTGCCGCAAGCTCCTGGTTCTGGTGTTTTCCACTTGCTGATAGAAGGCCACTAGTATTGTAAATGACCATCTCAGGTCTGATGCAGCTCATTTTTTGGGTCAAAACTTGACCTAGAAAAGGATATGAGATGTTTTAACTTCTTACCAAGACTAGCTCTTGGGCCGGGATTCACGGATTATTCTATAATTTGATTAACAGACCTCTTCAAGGTTTTAGTTCATGGATTCAGCTGCTTACACGCACCCTACTAGTGGACTTAATACCTAATAGATTTGTTTTGGGCTGAAAGCTTGCTGCTTTTCTATGTCCTTAAATAAAGATTCCTTTATTAAGAGAATGCATTAGATGTGGTCAGAAATCTACCTGTCAAAGGAAAACTAATAGTTACAGTATCTTTTTACTTGATGCATTTAGTTGGAACCAGGGGCAGCAAAGTGGAATTTTCGGTTTCTTTAGGGTAATGGTGAAGCTGAGCACAATAGACACTCGTCCTGACTTGCCAGCGAGCGTCCGTTTATTATGGACAGGGTCAGTTTACTGTGTGCGTTTTCTCTTCCCGTGCAGATGTACCCCGAGCTCCAGATCACAAATGTGATGGAGGCAAACCAGCCAGTCAGTGTGGACAATTGGTGCCGGAGGGACAGAAAGCAGTGCAGGAGTCACATTGTGATCCCGTTCAAGTGTCTTGGTGAGTGTCCTGTGGATGTTCTTGGCTGCTTCTCAGGAGGTGGAGTCCCTCGTGTTTTGGGTTAGTTTTCCCTTGGCTCGCAGTGAAGCGTCCCCGTCTCTTAAGCAGCTGAGGGCTGCAGGTGTTCCTTGGGGCCCTTCTCTCTTGAATGTTTGCTGCTTTCTTGGTGGTGGTAGGCTCGTCTTCGATGGTCACTGCCTCCACCCGGCCTTCTGTCTATTGAGGATGTGCCTTTCCCTGGCTCTGAGGAAGCGGCTGCCTTCAGAGCAGTCCAGCTTACCTCACGGTCAGAGTTTGCAATCACTGTTTTACAGGCATCGTCGTGAGTGGTGCTGAAGCTGCGGTCTCCTGCCCCCTTCCTTGACCCTGCACACGTTAGCAATGTACTGACATCCTGTATTGTTAGACCGGACTTGTGGGCGTTTTCAGGAGAAGAGTGACTCAGGGCTGTCTGTGGACAATCAGGGACACTAGGCCCAGGCCCTGTGCTACCTGCCATTCTGAAGATTGAGGGCAGGCCAGGGTGTTCATGACACTGTGTGGCTGGTGGTAACCGTCAGAGCTGACTTGAGTGAAACTATAACTGGGTGGTCACATAACATGTTACTGTTTTATTACCCAGAAACAGAGTTGTTGCTTCCAATGCTTATTTAGTTATGTATTCATCCTAACCACTCATTGCTGACACATCCAGATTACGGTCACATATCTGTAGTCTGGGTGGTTCAGGAACAGATTTAGTCACAGAAGCTTAAAAGAGCAAAGCAGTTGATTTTAGATGATCCGTGATAGGATTAACAAAGGTAGAGTATTAACATAGGTATCTTGGGTAGTTCTGTAGATGTATGTAATTTTAGCCATTAACTTACTCCTCTCCCTCCCTTCATTAAATCTTTCCTAAAATTGCTTTTCTCATTCTCACATGTAGCAAAATAACAGGAAGAGTCAGCACCTGAAGAACAGTATATTTAAAATATGTAGCAGTTACTTTGTTTTAAAAGTATTCAGTAGGGGGAAGAAGGGATATTGCATCTGCTTAACACCATTTACTCGAGAATTGGGCATCATGCAGTAATGTGAGACTTGTGAAACATAATTATTTATTTATTTTTTTGCTGAGGAAGATTTGCCCTGAGCTAACTTCTGCTCCAATCTTCCTGTTTTTGTATGTGAGCCACTGCCACAGCATGGCCACTGACAGACGAGTGGTGTAGGTCTGTGTCCAGGAACTGAATCTGGGCCACCAAAGTGGAGCACGCCACACTTAACCATTAGGCCACCAGGGCTGGCCCTGAAAAATTTTGTGTGGTGTGGTTTAAGGATGTTCTTCCATTCCATTTAACTCTAAGAAATCTCTGGGTTTGACATTTCATTCATTGTCTGTAACATTCTCAAACTAAAAGAAACGAGAATATTCTTGAATATTCATAGATGATAGATCTTATTTGCAATCATTTCTCCTCTTTGAATTGTTCCCCCAAAGACTGTGCAGCCTGGTCCCCTCCTGTGTCACTTACTGGGTCCACCGTCCACCCAGACTCCAGGCGTGAGATCTGGGAGACCCTCATCTTGTCACATCTGGTCAGTTTGCAAGCCAGCCTGATCTTCACCCCTTAAAGATGGCGTGTCCATGGTTCCCAGGTCATGCGTGGAGGCATCCCAGGGCACTGCGCAGATGCAGGGCATCGTGGGATGTTTCTGATTTTCAAGGGAGACATCTGTTAGCTGTCCCGTGAACTACTAGCTGGAGATAGTCAGTTTCAACATCAGATCAGTTCATTCCCTTTGATGACCTCGTATCTTTGTGGAGCTGTATTTTAGTGGTTCCTGTGTTATAAAAGCTGGCATCACATTAGAATTGCATTAGAAGAGACGAGGATGATGGTGTTCAGTGATTGCAGTGTTGGAGGAGTTGTGCAGTGACCAGCAGGCACTGAGGTGTTAGGACACTAGTACTTATTAAGTTGTTGGCCCTAACTTCTGAACTTCTGCATGTTCTTTTGGCCTGGAGGTGCTATGAAAAAATTACTGTGACACTCAGGGTGCTGTGTCTTGAGAAAGTTTGGGAACATCGGGCTTATATCCTCCTCCTCCATCTGGTTTCACTGCTCTGCTTCAGCTCTTCATCATTTCCTGCTTGGACTGTGACAGCAGCATCTGTGCGAGTTGCTCCGTTCTGTTGTCTGGTCTATTGCCCTCAGCAATCTAGGATGAAGATGGAAATGTCTGTCCTGCGCATAAAACACTTTATGTAGTAGCTCTTCTCCACCGAAGTTTTAGTCTTCACTAAAAATGTTGAGTTAAGCTCCTTAGCACGGCTTGGAATCTCCATGTGGTGGCCCTTGCTCAGCCCTTCCCTGTTCTCTTCCACCCCCTGCCCTGTGCTTCGCCTTCGTCAGCACTGACGTGTCACGGCTCCTGCCCACATGCCACCCGCCTCGCTGGGTTGGGAATGACATAACTGACTTTGCTTGGGAAGTTCTCCCTTTGAGACTTAACTCAGGGGATGCCTTCTTTAAAGGAAGCTTTTCCTCCTGGTCTTATTTTCTATCAAGACATCCAGATTTCTGTAATACTCCTCGTTGTTGCCATTGCACCTCTCACACTGAACGCTGATGATCTGTCTGTGTATCTTTCTCCAGCTGCACCATAAACACCTGGAAAACAGGGACCCTGTTTTAGTCTTCTTTGTCCTCTCAGTACCATGACAGTGCCTAGAACATGCGATACATTCTTCTTGATAATTACGGGACAAGACTGCTACCATAGCTGATACACAACAAAAATTTTATTTTACTGCTTTATTTTCCAAGTGCCGTAGGTAGAATTTTTCAGTGTGTTACAGAACCAAACAATGAAATGATGTTGTCATTAATTGAATGCATAAAAGACAATTTGACCATAAACTGTTCAATACCTTCTTTGCATCATGGTCGCTGAAAAAAGCGTTATACAGTCCTCAGTGTTACTGAATTCCACCAGCATCCATTTGGACAACTTCTGAGCCAGGAAGTAGAGCTACCGTTGGTATTTTTAGATGAATTACAGTTGCCTGAGCCTAAGCTAGTGAGGGACCAGGTGACTGGAGTTTGAGGGAGGTAGTAGGGAAGAAAGACTGCCGGTTCTTCCTGGTCATCCATTGTTCAAGAAGCAGGAGGCTTTCATGTCTCCGTGTCTCCCCCGGCATGTAGAGCACCAGGTGCACCACCTTCCTTACACGGCCCTGGGGGATAGTCTTTAGGGTTGCCTTTGCCTTCTCAATTTAAAAGTTGTAACAGTTTAAAAATAATTTCAGGTTCATAGAATGGTTGCAAAATAGTGCAAAGAGCTCCTGTATACCCTTTCCTCAGATTTTCAGATTTTCCAACTGTTAAATTTGATTAATATGGTAAAATTAATTGTATTATTTACCCTCCCAACCACTGGGTTTTGTTTATTGAATTGTGTAAGTTGCAGACATGATTCCTTTTATTCCCCTCTCACTTCAGTGTATATTTTCTTAGAAAAAAAAAAAAAAGGACATTCTCCTATGTACAGTCATCAAAATCAGGAAATACGGACCCTATTCAAGCTTCACCTGTTGTTTAAATAACACCAGGATCTAATTCAAGATCACATACTGCATTTAGTTCTCTCTATAGTCTTTTTCATGACCTTGGTATTTTCAAAGAGTATAGGCCAGTTACTTTGTAGAATGCCTTGTAATTTGGGTTTGTCTTCTGATCCTTTTGGTTTATGCCTTTTTGAGGGAACTATCACAGAAATGTTCTCTCTGTATCATGTTGGGAGTTGTATGACATCAGTTTCTTCCATTGATAACTTTTATCACCTGGCTAAGATGGTGTCTGCATTCATTCATTTATTTCATTATGGACTCATTGTCCCAAGCTGGCCAACAGGAACCCCTTCGTGTTGGTTCCTGTGTCCTTTAACCATGTCCCTATCATTCTTTGAAAATATCCTTAATTTCTGGCACAAAAAGATGCTCAGGCTCATCCTGTATTTTCCCTCCCCAACCTTTGGAGTCAGCCATTTCTCCAAGAAACTCTGGTTTCCTTTAGTGGGGAATAGTATTTAGAAACCAAGATCTGGGCATTTGGTGTGCTTGCTGCTAGTAGGATGTTACTGCTTCTAGGCCCACTCAGCAGACAGAGCTTAAGAAATATATGTATGTATACATATATGTGCACACATAAATCGATATTTCTGTGTACATTTGTGTATATTAAAAACAGTGAGCTCATAGTGATACCTCCTATTCCATTATCCTCAGTATGTTTACTTATTTGCTCAATATCCCCTGTAAATAATGTCTCTCTGCTTTTTTTTTTAATTTATTTTTTTGGTGAGAAAGATTGACCCTGAGCTAACTAATGTCTGTTGCCAATCTTCCTCTTTTTGCTTGAGGAAGATTGGCCCTGAGCTAACATCTGTTCCAGTTGTCTTCCATTTTGTAAGTGGGATGCCTGCCACAGCATGGCTTAATGAGCAGTGTGTAGATTCGTGCCCAGGATCTGAACCTCTGAGGCCCAGGCTGCCAAAGCGGAGCACGTGAACTTAACCACTAAGTCACTGGGCCCGGCCCCTCTCTGTGCTTCTTATAAACAGATTTTTTTTTTTTCCTTTTTCTCCCCAAAGCCCCCCGGTACGTAGTTGTGTGGGGTTTTTTTGTTTTTTGAGGAAGATTAGCCCTGAGCTAACATCTGCTGCCAATCCTCCTCTTTTTGCTGAGGAAGCCTGGCCCTGAGCTAACATCGTGCCCATCTTCCTCTACTTTATATGTGGGATGCCTACCACGGCATGGCGTGCCAAGCGGTGCCATGTCCACACCCGGGATCTGAACTGGCAAACCCCGGGCCCCCGAGATGCGGAATGTGCGAACTTAACCACCGGGCTGGCCCCATAGTTGTGTATTTTTAGTTGTGGATCCTTCTAGTTGTGGCATATGGGATGCTGCCCCAGCATAGCTTGATGAGCGGTGCCATGTCTTTGCCCAGGATCCGGACCCGTGAAACCCCAGGCCGCCGAGGCGGAGTATGTGAACTTAACCACTCGGCCACGGGGCCAGCCCCCTAAAAGCAGATCTTTTGAGAAATAATTCACATACTACAATGTATTTCAGCTATTTTAAAGTAAACAGTTTAATGGTTATTGTATATTCACTGAGTTATTAAACCATACACAATTCTATTTTTTTTTTTTGGTCAGAAGATTGGCCCTGAGCTAATATCTGTGCCAATCTTCCTCTATTTTCTATGTGGGATGCTCCCACAGTATGGCTTGATGAGCGGTGTGTAGGTCTGTGCCTGGGACACAAACTAGCAAACCCCGGGCCACCAGAGCAGAGCACGCAGACTTAACCACTATGCCACCGGGCCAGCCCTGTCTGCAATTCTTTTAACATACAAACTGTACTAAAAATTAATACAATAAAGAGTGTGAATCCTGTACACATTTTATCCACTAGAAGTATCTACAGTAAACTCCTTTATACATGTGAAGATGCATCCCACGTGTTGGAGTAAGAGATGGTAGTGTATGGTTAGCTTCAGCTCTGGAACCCTCTTTAAGGTATGAGATAAACCCTATTAAGATATCTTCTTTAAGGATCATGAATGAATGCAGATACTGCTGCTTAGCAAATACAACACATAGGCAGGCAGGCAGGCAGGCCAGAAGGGTGAGGAGATGGGACCTGGGGGAAACAGGACCTGTCTGTATTGGTTGGGTGCCTCTACTCATGAGTCTGGATGTCCCGGGGGCACTATTTTTGTAGTTTTGCTAGGTTGAGGGGAAGGATATGTCTTGATTAGCACACGTGCAAACAGTTTGAGAATGAATGTAGGTTGCTGGCAGTGTTTGCATCAAGGCTGGAGTCGCACTGTCTGTAGACATCTGTGTTGACCTCGCTCAGCTCTGCCCTCTCTTGAGAACGTGCTTAACTACCCATCGGTGTGACTGTTAAACTGATGTTAGTATAGTTGGTGAGAAGTTACAATTCAATCTTCCCCCTCCCCAAAAGGAACCCATATCTTACGTTGTTACTAATTGCTTAAATAAATTTCATAAATAAATAAACAGAGTGATCTGAGTAGGACAGAGTGGTGAAGAAGAAGCAAAACCGCTGGTATTTGAGGGACGGGAGTTAGTCATCCCTGATGTTTACATGCAGACTGATTCCTGCGCCAAAAGCAGAGAGCTCCGTAAGCCCATGACTGTTTTTGGTCTACGTTATTTTTGGAAGGAGGTTTGGGCATGGAGTGTTACTGTGATGTGAAGGCTACCAGAGAAGGTTCTCGTTCTCAGAAGTGTTGAGGTGCAGTCTTCAGCAGCTGCAGGTTGGTGTCTTGGAGCAGCTCACTCGTCCATTGTAGGTGTACATTTGCAAGTTGCCTTCTATCTTTGAGTTCATGACAGCCCATCAACAGTTCACCACGTTCCCAGTGTGGACCCTTGTGCACGGTGTGTTTCTGCTCATGAGAATTATTCTGGGTCTTTAACTTCTCAGAGCCATATTTACCTCAAAGACATCTTCTAGGGACGGCTACCAGACTCACAACAACTTCCATTGACTCTCTTGGTTTAATCTTGTTACAGAAGGCTTTCTCCCACCTGGTTACAGCTTCCAAGAGTCCCATAAATGACATGGTCTTCCCGTTTGTAGCTGGAGAGTACTTGTGCAGGTTTATTTATACATGTGAGTGTTGGTATTGGGGGCTTCCCCAAGTGGATGAACAGCCCTTGTTATGTTGAAAGGAATTTCAGCAACTCTGAAAAAGCTCTAAAACCTGATGACTGTCATGGCCCCGCTGTGGGGAGGTGGTATGAAAGAAGAACAGAATCATAGTGAATGGGTAGAGGCTGGAGATCAATCATAAATGCGGTTAGATGAAATCCTGTAGGTTGGATTTTGCTGCATTGCCGTATTCATTATCAGCGTATTAAATTGAATAGCAGCAACAGTACAGCTTTCTGTTTGTCCAGTGACTTAGGAAATTGTGGCCGTTGCCTGTTGTACTCCAACTGATTAAAGTGAAGATTGTTACAATGGGATAAATTTTTAAAGTGAGGCTAAACCATTTTCAGTATTCTTCTATAAAACAGTAATACTGGTCTGCCTAAGTCAGTTTTTTTCCTAGAAGCTTCTGATAAATAATTGTAGCAAAAGCAAAAAGTGGGATGATGAGAACTGACGCTGGGATTGGGGGAGCATGGGGTGTGTTTATTGCTTTCGTTTAGTTGTTTAGTGATTTTTAAAATTATTAAACCATCATGGAAACTTTTCCATGTTAAATATAGACATAAACCATATTTCTTATGACCCTATAGTATTCTATCATAACAGGTACTATTATTTAACTAATTTCTTAATGACGGACATTTAGATTAGTTCTGGGTTTTTTGGTTTTTTTTTTTTGATATTAACAAAATCCTGTTCTGATGTGGGGAGGCTGTGCTGACTGCCCCAGCTCGTAGAGTCAGGAGCACGTCTTCCCCCCTTGCAGTAGATCAGGGACTCCCCTTCGCCTGCCACTGGGGTAGTAGAAGGACTGACTGCTCCGTGCCCGGGGACTGAGTCTGAGGCCGAGGGGTCCTGAAGGACCAGGCCATGACGATGAAGCTGGGGAGTGGGTCCATGTGGACTGACCACTGGTTCAAAGCCCTAAGACCTTTCTCAGGCCAGATTCCTTTCTTATTTGTACTCTTTTTTTTTTAACCTGGGAGGTGAGCCTGCCCGCTTCCTTTCCCCTGCCCCTGCTTACTGCTTCTGTCCCTGAGCTAACCACACATCTCTCCCTCTGTTGGTTTCTGCCCACTTAGACCATCTATGGAGGGCACTGGTGATGCATAAGAATCACTTGGGATGCTTGTTTAATGCAAATTACTGAGTTCCTCCTTGGACCTACCAAATCAGAATCTCTGGGTAATAATCCAGTGATATATATATATACATCTTTAGCTTTTCTTTTTTTTTTTTGAAGATTTTATTTTTCCCTTTTCTCCCCAAAAGCTCCCTGGTACATAGTTGTACACTTCTAGTTATGGGCCCTTCCAGCTGTGGCATGTGGGATGCCACCTCAGCGTGGCCTGACGAGTGGTGCCTTGTCCGCGCCCAGGATCCGAACCTGTGAAACCCTGGGCTGCCAAAGCAGAGCAAGCAAACCTAACCACTCAGCCACGGGGCTGGCCCCCAGTTTGTAGCTTTTTATTATGGAAGTTACACACGTATCCAAACACAGAGAAAATAATACCATTAGCCCTCACGTACCATTGCCCAGCTATATAATGATCATCAATTCATGAGCCAATCTGTGTCATCTACCCAACCTGATCATGTAGCCCCACTCCCATCTACCCCTGATTATTTGGAAACAAATCCCAGATACTGTTTTTTTTCTATAAATACTTCACGTATTTCTACAAGATAAGGATTCTGTTTCTAAACAGCTATGTGTATTTTCCCCCCAGCTTTTTATTTTTGAAGTTTCAGGCCTAGAGAAACAAATGCCATGGCGAACGCCTCTGTCCCTGTTACCGAGGGTCTCCAGTTTTGCCTCGTCTATCCACCTCACTATGTGTGTGTGTGTCTTCCCTATTTTTTTTTGTTGTTAAACCATTTGGAAGTAAGTTGGGATATCGTGATAGTTCACCTCTAAATATTTCAGCTTTTCCTAAGAGTGAAGATATTGTCCTATATAACTATGATCCAGTAATCACATTTTGGACAGTTTCCCTAAATGTCCAAAAACTGTCCTTTATAGCTTCATTTTAAAAAGAATAATACATTATATTTGATCTAGAACAGTTCCTCAGTCTTTTTTTTTTTTTCCAAATCTTTTACAACAATGGTAATTTTTAAGAGTCTAGGCTATTTGTTTAACAAAATATCCCTGAATTTGAGCTTGTCTTATGGTTTTATCATGATTAGATTCAGATGACATTATTTTGGCAGAAAGACTATGTAGGTGATGTGTTCTCCTTATGACATCACTTATGTCAGCTTGTCCATTGCTGGTGATGTTAAATGGTCACCTGGTTAAGGTACTATCCTCCAGAGTTTCCCATTGCAATGGCACCTGTTCCCCTTTGTACTTAACCCTCCGTTGGTGGATCTTACCTGAATCAGTTGTGACAGCGGTGGTTTGTCTTAGAGCTCAATGTCTTTAGGTACGCAAAGGGGTAAAGTAAGATTCATTGGTACGTTAGGAGAACACCTAGTCTTAGTTTCCTGAGCATTTTGTTGTTAGAACCGATGTGGGCAGAAATAGGGAAGGAAGAGGCTAGGAATATTGTGCATGTGAAACCAGAGGTGACGGAGGGGAGCTGTGTGTGCTCGAGGTCATGGAGGGGGAATCCGCTTCCAGTTCTCCGTCTTCTGTTGCTGCAGCCCTGCAGTGGCAGTGTCAGGGCTTGAGGTCGGCGAAGAGTGGGGAAGGTCCCAGGCATCACGGCTGAAACACAGTGCCGAGCTCTAGAGGCTGCTCGCCTGCAGCTGTAACGCCCAGTTGGCCCTTGAAGATGAGAGATGTACATCAGCTCATGTACATTAGAGCTGCTCCTGTCTACACCTCACTGTGTAACTGTCATAATAATCTGCAGCGAGCATCGTTCTTACCTTGAATCGTGATCAGATTTGCTTCTGACAAAGCCTCTCTTTTCCAGTGGGTGAATTTGTAAGTGATGTTCTGCTAGTTCCAGAAAAGTGCCAGTTTTTCCACAAAGAGCGGATGGAGGTGTGTGAGAATCACCAGCATTGGCACGCTGTAGTCAAAGAGGTAAAAGCATGCATGCAAAAAGTCAAGTGTTTTTTCTCTTAGAAGAGAAAATAGAATTTTTCTCCAAGGCTTACCATCATTTTAAATCAGTTTTCTGTATTTTCCCTTTATCCTCTTGAAAGTTTACGATTACTTGTATCTTCTCAATTAAAAATATTTGGGAGAACAGTAGGTATTTTGTAGGAAAGTACAGTGTTGACAGTTCAGCCTCTAAAGTTAAGGATATTAAAAAGGTTGTTAAGCAAGGATGCTGTCAGCAGGACTCCCAGGAAGGCTGTGCTAAACCCCAAAGCCTGTGTGGAAATAGCCAAGTATAGAAAACATGGATCAGATGCCGTTTCAGTCTTGTAGTGGAGAGAAACCCTTTCTTAGGCTTGTCTTCTGTAGGTGAGTTGGTTCTCCAGTCAGTTGTCTGTCTTGGTCACATTCTGCATCGGCACCCTCTTCAGTGAGGAATGTAAATGATCGTTGACTACCTTTAACTGCTGTTGATAATTACTAGAAGAAAGTCTGTTTTCCTTAGTTCTCTTCCAGCTTTGGGCTTTCAGCATTTTTGGCTTAGATTCCTGTAAGTCTTGTTAAAATAATATCGTCACAGCTTTTTGACAAAATTTATGAGTCCATGAGAGAAAGCATTCCAACGTGGTTTGATAAGGATTTCTTTTGGATAAAGCTAGGGGTTGGGAGTACTTGACCAGGTTTACTGTGGAGTATGTTCTGATATTGGTGTACACGTTTCTTTTAGGCCTGTCTGACTCAGGGAATGACCTTATATAGCTACGGCATGCTGCTGCCCTGTGGGGTAGACCAGTTCCACGGCACTGAATATGTGTGCTGCCCTCAGACAAAGATCATTGAATCTACTGTGTCAAAAGAAGACGAGGAAGATGAGGAGGAGGAGGAGGGGGAGGATGAAGAGGAAGACTATGATATTTATAAAAGGTAAACTCTTGTCCTGAGCCTGTGAAATCGTTTTGCTGGTGGCTTGGATTGCTCATCCCTTACTTGTGGGTAGAGTGGGCATGCCCTTGTCACGCTGGAGGTGAGCCAGCTTGCATTCCATTCTAGCCGTAGTTGACCCCAGGAGGACCAGTGGCTTTCAGCTTTGTGTCGCCCAGCCACGCTGCTTGCTGCAGGTCAGTGCTGCCCCGGCTCGCTAACTCTTGCCTTTTGCTGCTGTAGCTGGGCTGAGGGCTTTAATGGTGCAGTTCAGTGTGAGTTGAGCTTATTTCCTGTCTCTGTTTTTGTGTTTCAAAATAGGGAAGAGAATCATTGTTGTGCTTTGTGTATTGGAATTGGTGTTAACCTTCCTTTTTTATTGTGACCTTTAGTGAATTTCCTACCGAAGCAGATTTGGAAGACTTCACAGAGGCAGCTGTGGATGTGGATGACGAGGATGAGGAAGAAGGGGAGGAAGTGGTGGAAGATCGTGATTACTACTACGACACCTTTAAAGGAGATGACTACAACGAGGAGAACCCAACTGAACCCAGCAGTGATGGGACTATTTCAGAAAAGGAAATTACTCACGATGTTAAAGGTAATGCAATGTCGAGCCGTGGCGTTAAAATCCGTATGGTAATCACTTACTTAGAATTTGGGGCTGCATTCATCACAGGTAAGTCACAGAGGAGAGGTGGTGCTTCTGTGTGCTGAAGGTGAAGGCAGCCCTCCAGTGTGCTGTGTGCTGGTGGCGCCATCATAGAAGTGGGCACCCAGGCCACTGCAGGGCTGGCAGTTGACACGTCCGGGAGGAGATGCAAAACTGAATCGCAGAACTGTCCTTTGCATTGTAAGGACTTAACTGGAGACAAGGGAGACAGCATGATCTACCGTTGGGCAGAGTTCCTCGACATTCAGCCTGGGGTGTTTTCTCTCCAGGGGGAGCCCCCCTCCTCAGTACTCCAAAGCCCCAACCTTCTAGGGTGGAAATAACTTTCTGGTTCTTCTCTTCCTGAGTATATGCCAATCTGTAGGCTGCCGTTTGCCCGCTAGAAAGATACTTGTAACTGGGAGGGTGGAATTTAATGACTTTCTACTGGTGAGGCATTAGGGCCAGCAGTTTTTTTTATCTTGCCAATTTTTTTAAAAAGTCAACAGTTTCAGAGCCATTTACTCACAGCCTCCTGCTGATTGTATATTTGAAGCCAGGTGACATCTGAAGAATTATTTAGGACCGACTGAGGGGAGTTACTTTGCGAGTCTAGACGTTTTTGATTCATCTTGGAGAACGTAAAAGTGTGCGCTTGTCCTTTCCAGGTGCTTACCTGGTGTTTTCTGTGGATATCACCATGGAAACGGCCTTTTCCCCTGTGTCGTCTCCTTTGGTCCTTGACACCACCAGGATAGACAAGTCAGGCCAATATGTCCACCTAGCAGGCCAGGAATGTGAGGCCCGCGGAGCTGCGAGATAAAGCATTCCTCTGTGTCAGTCTGTACATCAGTCTAGACTCAAGGCAGTGCAAATAATATTTTAGTTCCTAAACATCTTTATTATATCAGAATGGAAAACGCCTGCATCCTCAGAAATGGCTGGCTCGAGTGGTGAGTTAGTTCACCAGGGCATTGAGGTTCTGTCCAGTCTTGGCCTTGGCTGAGGTTAAGTACGTCACCTGGTCCCTTCTCCTCGCCCGTCCCACCCCTTGCTGGTGTGTAGTGTTGTGAAGCCTTTGCAGCTGCTGCCTCTGTCCTGCTGACGTTCTGACCATTTTCACACAGCTGTCTGCTCCCAGGAGGCGATGACGGGGCCCTGCCGGGCCGTGATGCCTCGTTGGTACTTCGACCTCTCCAAGGGAAAGTGCGTGCGCTTTATATATGGCGGCTGCGGAGGCAACAGGAACAATTTTGAGTCTGAGGATTATTGTATGGCTGTGTGTAAAACGATGAGTAAGTCCCGCCGCGCTGGCTCTTTGCAGCAGCACCGTCCTGTCCAGCGTTCTGTCTCTTTCCGGGCCGTCCTCGTGACTGCATCTGTGTGGTGCTCCCTGCCAACTCAGGTGTTTGCTGTTGGTCGTTTCCCTCATCTTTGTGCTTTCTAGATCTAGGCTGTGCTTTCCTGTTGGCAGTTGTAAGCTCAGTTTCCATGTCTGTGCTCATGTGGGTCTGGTGGTGGGTGGTGTGTTCCCTCCCTGGCACAGCGGGAGAGCCCGGGGGCTTGTTCTCTCCTGCCTTGCAGTCCGAGGCCCCCAGAGGCTTCTGTGTTGGCTGGGAAGGCAGCCTCGCCCTCAGCTCTCTGGTGGAGAGGCACAGGGTGGGTAAGCAGATTGGCTGAGTTCTGCACGTGCTCGTTTCTGGGCTTTGCCTCTCGTTCTTGTTTCTGAGCCACCCCGTCACCGGCCCCTGTGATGCATGGTGACTGAAGGGCTGCCCACTCTCCAAGAAGTGGCAATAGGGATACTTTGGGGAGACCAGAACAGTGAAATACCATGCTTGGTGCACTCTAGGGAGAGAGCTCTGCAGCCAAGTGGTAGTAACTCTTTTTCTCCAATATGCTGACAACACTGGACCATGTAGAACTTTAGAAAGTGAAGGAATTTTAGTTTATGTATTCTTTGATCACGAAGGAAATTCTGTGGTTCAGTTGAGTTGGGTTTACTTAGACATTGGTAGGAAAAGTTTTGCTTTTCTCTGTGGTTACCCTTTTGCCTTTTTAAGAGCCTTTTTCGCTTGCCTTGTAGTACTAACCCATGTGTTTGGAGAACCCGGAGGCCAGGCAGTGTTCTTGGTTCTGATTCTGTAAGTCACGAGAGGAAGGATTTGCTGCCTGCCCCTGGTGCTTGCTCTAAAGATATTTGGCTGAAGCTTCTGATGGTTTTTTCATTCAAATACTTGCTTGTCTGTCTTTCCTTGCTCCACCAAAAGATTTTCTAAATCTAAATATGATATAGTGTGTACTTTTCGTGCTTCCACTCCAGCTGCTGCTCTGTGGAAAGGCTGTTTTTATTTGAAATGATTGAAAAGGTGAAAAAAAATATGAGTCCTTAGGGAACTTTACAGGCAGAAACTTTTTTATTCAGGAAAGATGTAGATAGAGAAATTCTTGTGGTATTTCCTGCTTTGTGAAACTGCTTAAACTAAGGGACAACAAAACATTGTTTCAGCTTGAAGCTTGAGGAATCAGGGGTTGTTAAAAGATCTCACTTAACATGCAGGCGTCCTCCTAGACCTGAAGGTTCAGGCCGGTAGTGCTGTGGGACCGTGGAGTGACAGCTCTTGAGAGCATTGGTGGTGCGAGGGCTGCAGAACGGTCGATCCCTGTGATTTGCGGTGGGGAGACCTGCCCGGGAGAGGCAGCCTGCTCACGTGCTTGTGGCCTGGAGCACTTTGACGGCCTGGAAACATCACTGTTCCAGTGGTCAAGTTTGTGCCCCTCCTTAAAAGGGATGGAGGTGGACGAATATGCTGGCTTCGTGAGCTGATCATTTTCACATGGTCTGAAGGACGTGGTCCTGGCTCGGAGCCCAGCGGGTCTTCAGCACCATCCGCCTGGTCTGCTGCTGCGTTCCCCTTTTGTTCCCAGCGGCGGAGGCAGCTTGTGTTTTGTATTATCTTGATCCAGCTCAGTGATATGAACCATAGACTCCGTCTGCAACACATAAGCCTTTAAGCTGCAGGCGCGCAGTGCTGATGGCGACGTGCTTGTTGTCACGGATGGACTTCAGTGCCTTAAGTTCCCCCAGCTGAACCTTTGAGTGGCACGGGGAACATGGCTTGTGAAGCCGTGTATTCTATATAGCTAAGCTGAAATCAGCTGTTGAGATCCTATTTAAACTTGTGTAGGAGCCAAATATTCTTAGCAAAAATAGTTGTAGCTTTTAGGTTTAAAGCTGAATAAGAGGAGGTAAATAAATAAAAAGATGCTCTGACAGAAGAACTTTGGAGTAGCTGAGTAATCTGTAGTTAGATTCATCAGTTACATGGTTGTTTGAATGTTGTATTAAAGTTATGCAATTCTGGAAGTTAGATGAATCTGTTTCTGAATTTAAAATTGGTTGAATTTTGGCATTTGCTCTCCACTTAGCTCTGACAGTATGTCAGGATAGCAAGTTGTGCAAGCAGGGTACCTGTCGTTCTTCCCTAGCTTGGGAAGTCACGACTGCGCTGGGCTAATAAGTTTCCATGAGTGTTTCCTAAGAGGCTGACTAAACTTGTCACCTCAGTCCTTCCGTGAATGAGGCTACGCTCCACTGTGCAGATACTCACCTGCCTGGGGCCACCAAGAGCTGATTACGCTTGACTGGCAGCAAGCAGCGTTTGCCCTCATGCATCTGTTCTCTGGGTGTTGGCCTGCTAGGGCCAGTGAGTGTCGGGGATTGAACAGCCCGGGGTGTCTTCGCAGTCCGCGGTAAGTCCTTGTCCAGCGTCGCATCTGCATTTCTCCCTGTTATCTGGGGTGGAAGAGTCCTTTTCCAGCGTCGCATCTGCATTTCTCCCTGTTATCTGGGGTGGAAGAGTCCTTCAAGGAGACGGAAGACTAAAATGTGGTGGCTGCAGGGGTTTGGACTTTCCCTGCCCAGTCTGTGTGCCAGAACATTCAGTGGAATCACCTCCCCAAAGTAAGTTCTGACCTCAGAATAGCCAGCAGAGCCCCACGTTCCTTTCAGAATGCAGACCTTGTGGAAGTGCCTCTGCCGGTCCGACCTCAGCCCTTGTCTCGGCTCAGATGCTGTCAGTGACAGCAAGCAGGGTAGCTGTGTTTTAGGTTTTAAGGTTTTAAGGTTTCAAGAACTGAGGGAAGGTATAGAAGAAGTGATTTCCTTTTCTGTCCTTGAAGTCCTAAGTAAAGACGCCTCGCTGGTGCCGCAGACACCAGGGGACATGGGCTCGCCTGGTGGGTCAATAGCACGTCAGGAAGGTGGACCCCTGTAATCTAACAGGGGAGTCTTGGCAGCAGGAGCACCCTGCGCTTTGGGGGGTGTGCGACCAACTCGTCCATTCTCAGCTCCTGAGCTTGGTCTTCTTCCTGGAGCACAGTGCGGTTTCCACTTGGGCCTGACTCCCAAAGAGAACTCCCTCTGTTACTTTGTTTCAGTTCCCCCAACTCCTCTGCCAACCAATGATGTCGATGTGTATTTCGAGACCTCTGCTGATGATAATGAGCATGCTCGCTTCCAGAAGGCCAAGGAACAGCTGGAAATTCGGCACCGCAACCGGATGGACAGGGTAAACCTCGGCGCTGCCCTGTCTCAGTGGGGTTTGGCTTTGGGTAACATGGTTTTCATGGTTGAAGGAAAGGGACCCCTTCTCCCTAGGCTGTCATGCTGTGTTAGGACAGGTGAGCTGTGAGTATAAGCAGCGCTGCCCCCTGGGCGTGACTAGGATCCGTCCTCAGTCGTCTCCCTGATAATGTCATTACCCTCTGAGTGCCTTTCACATTCCAGACTCCATGCTGGGCACGTTCTGTAACCATCTGGTTTGCTGCTGCTTTTTTTTTTTTTTTTTTAAGATTGGCACCTCCGCTAACATCTGTTGCCAATCTTTTTTTTTTTCCTTCTCCCAAAAGCCCCCCAGTACATAGTTGTATATTCTAGTTGTAGGTCCTTCTGGTTGTGCTATGTGGGATGCCGCCTCAGCATGACCTGATGAGCCCAGTATGCAAACCAGTGAAACCCTGGGCTGCTGAAGTGGAGTGCGCAAACTCAATCACTTGGCCACGGGGCCAGCCCTTGCTCTTATTTATTTTATTTATTTATTTTTTTATGGAAGATTAGCCCTGAGCTAACATGTGCTGCCAGTCCTCCTTTTTTTTTTTTTTTTTTTTTGCTGAGGAAGACTGGCCCTGAGCCAGCATCCATGCCCATCTTTCTCTACTTTATATGTGGGACGCCTGGCACAGCATGGCTTGCCAAGCAGTGTGTACATCCGCACCTGGGATCTGAACTGGTGAACCCCAGGCTGCCGAAGCAGAACATGCAAACTTGACCACTGTGCCACTGGGCTGGCACCCCTTAGTCGTATTATTTTTCTTTGCCATTAACTAACTTAAAAAAAAATTATTTTAAAGAAGGGAACTTTATATCACAGGTGTAAATGGAGTGCTAGTTTCGTTTGCCAGTAGATGAGGGAACTGTAGAGAGACGTTAGGTGACAGCAAGCGTGGATGAATTCATTCTAGCTGGGTCGTGTGGCTGTGAGGGTTCTGAGTCTCGGGTGCTCTGTTTTCCTCAGAGGGTTGTAGGTGTTAGCGGAAGATGAGTTCTGCAGTGTGGTTTGTCTTAGGCTTCCTCAGAGGGCTGAAGAAGACTGCCAGGGGAGGTCCTGCTAGGTCCGAGCCACCTGCCCCATTGCCTGTGCTGGGCATTTGGGCCATGCTCGATGCTCTGTCTTAACCACGTTAGCTCTGAGAAGTAGGTATTAACTGCCCCCCCACCCCCATTCTTTTTGAGGAGGCTGAGGCAGAGTGACTTTTAAATAACTTGCTCAAGGTTATCTGACAGGGAGGTTGTGGGACTGAGGCTCCGTGTGGGGATTCTGGAGGCCTAGGACCTGCAGCCTCTTGTCATCGACAGGCTGAAATGGCCCTCAGCTCGCGAGGCATCAGACGACATGTTTCCTTTTGTCCGGTTTCCTACGTTCGATTCAGGGCCTGGCAGTATTTTTAGAGAGTAGGGGAATTGTTTCAGAGATGATTCTCTGGTTAAGGTGGGTTTGGCCTTTGTTCCAGGTAAAGAAGGAGTGGGAAGAGGCCGAACTTCAGGCGAAGAACCTCCCGAAAGCAGAGAGGCAGACTCTCATTCAGGTGAGATGTTCTCGGGGCAGAGCTCCAGCCTGACCCTTTGAAACAGGGTCAGGCCACCACACAGGAAACTGGAGCCTGATACCTCCTTTCAGTTGAGAGCTTATGTTACAAGGAAGTTTGAACTGACCGGCTTTTTTTCACTTCCCAGCTGGCATTCTCCAGAATTGCTCACCTCTGGTACTCGGAAACCAAACCCCAGCCAGTGCACACCGAACTCATGCCAGGCAGTAACCTTAGCTCGCTGCTGTCCTGGCACGGTCCTCGGTCCCCTTCATTCTTAGGCTGTGACTTGTTCAGCAGTACTGAAATCTTTTTTTGTAGACTTGTTGAAAAGTCAAAAGGCAGAAAATAAAGCTCTCGGATAGCAGTTCCTCTCTAACTCTATAAGCGTGTGAGCTCAGTCCTCGCGGCCCCTGCGTGCTCCTTGAAGAGTGTCCATGGGAACAGGGTGGCAGTTTACAGGTTTGGGTTTCATAACTTGGTTACATTTTAAGTCAGTATGTTTTTATGTTTCACTGAGATGTTTTCATCTCATGATGACGCTTCATTGGCACACCTTTGCTTTTTTTATCAATCACCTAGAAAATCTGAGAGTGTTAATTTCTACGTAGCCAATGCATCCTACACAGGGACAGTTTGTTCACAGCCTTAAACTGGACCTTTCAACCTGGCCAGGGGCCTCACAACCAGCTTTCCCTTCATGAGTTTGGTGTGAATGACTCAGCACAACCCACGCTATTACTGGCATGTGTTTTAAAGTATACCTCCTGTTGGTCTGTGGTCTCAGGATCTGGAAGTCAGTGCCTTGCTGCAGTGTGGGAAGGATAGCGTTCTTTTCTTGCAGGGCCTGTGGAGAGACCAGGCACTGGGCTTCTAGCTCTAGTCGTTTCAGTTACGGAAATGCTAAGGAGTCCTTGTGACACCCAGATTTACCGTGCCCTCATCAGAAGAGGAAGGTAGTCATCCCGACGGAAATCAGATATAACGTAGACTCAGATCCCAGCCTCGCTGCGCTCTGGACCTGTGACAGCTGGCACAGGCACTGGGCGCGGAGAAGCACAGCATTGCGGTCTACAGTTGTGTGCTTAGACTTCCTCCAGGCACCGTGAATTATGTGTTGTTCCTTCTTTCTTGGTTTAGCACTTCCAAGCTATGGTCAAAGCTTTGGAGAAGGAAGCAGCCAGTGAGAAGCAGCAGCTGGTGGAAACCCACCTGGCTCGAGTGGAGGCGATGCTGAACGACCGCCGCCGGATGGCTCTGGAGAACTACCTGGCGGCCTTGCAGTCTGACCCACCGCGGGTGAGTTGTGCGTGGAGCCGAGTCCCTGGTGAATTGGATCCTCAGCATTGCCTGCCCTAAAGTGTGTGTGTGGGACCAATTTATGACACACAGGTCAGTAAAAATTACTTTTTTATAATAGGTTCTGGCAAGTCTGGAGGTAAGAAACTAAGAGTAGGGAGGAAAAGGTATTATGTTCTCTAGTGTCTGCTTATGGAGACTTAGCATTACGTTTATGCCTGCGTGTGCCACCTGTGATAGGCAAGTATCTTACCGTAGAAAAGCATAACCTCAGGATGCTCGCTTAGTTGTCTCATTGCTGAATTTTTGTAGTAGCCTTTCTTTCAAAGAATAAAAACATGCCTTCCATGGACAAAGGCCTTTGAACTAGTTCTATTCTAAATAAGATTATGAAGAAAAGGATGAAGTAATTTATACTGAAACTCTTTGTGCTAGCTGTTTCAAACTTGTTTGTCCTTTAACTCGAACCTACCTTGTTTTGGGGCGTGGAAAGGAGGCTGTTTGTGTTCTTCTTAGGCAAGTAGTCTTTTCTGGTGACACAGGGACTGCCCAGCTTGTACTTAGGATGTCACATGCTGAGCTCGGGAAAGAGGACAGAGTGGAAGAGGACAGTGGGCTAGAAACCCTGGGAAATACTGTTTGTTAAGGAGCCAGTATAACTTTGGAACTTAGTTTTTGGTACTTTTACTTAGAAAGGCAGCTTCTTGTTACTTGGTAAGCTAGAAGCTTTTAAAAGTACTGCTTTCATTCTTGTGCCTCACTGAGCTTTACATTCGTAAGTGACTTTTTTAAGCTTTGTTTTCTGCCTCTCTTCAGCTCCCTAGTTTCTGGGTGTTAAGAGAACTGTCATCTCTCGCAGCCTCATCGCATCCTCCAGGCTTTGCGGCGTTATGTCCGTGCTGAGAACAAGAATCGCCTGCATACCATCCGCCATTACCAGCACGTGTTGGCTGTCGACCCAGAGAAGGCGGCCCAGATGAAATCCCAGGTGTGCTAGACAAGGTGGCCGTGGCTGCGGGAATTTCCGATGGCGAGAGAGAGACTATGACCCATGGTTGGAGAGCACTGACGGTCGCCCTTGTTACTAGTGCTCAGAAAATGATTTTCGATTTCCAGAGACATTAGGTACATGAGTTGGTTTTTGCGAAGGTACTCTATTAAATATCTTTTCCGTACTTTTTTATATTATGTACTTCCTGCTTAAAACAGTTTCTGAAAGTTTAGGAATACATGATTATGTTGAAGAGAGAAGTCAGTTTCTAAATTGTTTTTTATATCAGTTTATTTCTGATTTAGGGTATCACCAGAATTAATATTTGAAATCTTTTTCTAGACAGATACATCAAGTAGATCTTAAAAATTGGCGTCTTGGGTTGTGCGTTACAGTGTTTGTTTAGACAGACTGGTACGCTCCTGGGGTCTGACCCTGCTGAGTCCAGCTTTACTTTACAGGTGTTGATGGAGGTTTGTGTCTGGACCCGCTTTCTAATTTCAGTATTGTCTCTATATTAACTTGAGTTTTACTCTTCTATTCATTGAAAGTGAATGTGCCCACAAGATTGCTAGCTCCTTTTAAACCAGGAAATCTAGTAGTTGAGCCTGTTAGTTTTCCTGGAGGGCCTTATAGTGACGTAACTGATGTTTTATTTCCTCCCATGCTTTAAGTAGAGTGCTGTGCTGGTTGTGGGCACTCAGTGTACATGGGATGCACTGACAAGCATGAGTGCTTGCCCATCATCCCAGGAACCCCCCTCCCGGCCTCGTGCTGCATGTGTATTAGGATTGTAAAGTAATCTGTCCTCCTGGAGTATTGCAGCTAAGGTTATTGCTCCATTTCTTGAGCAGAAGTTTGTGTGCTGTCTGCCTCCTAATTCTGCAGTAGCCTCTGACAATACAAAGTTGACTCCCTGTCTCCCCCTGAGCAGTGCATGATCCAGTATAGAATTAATTATGTGAGCTATCGAGATGAGGAATCATTGTCTTTAAATACATAGAGTTCACTCTGTCATTTGGATGTTTGGGGGAATGAATGGACTCTGGCTCCTAGAGGGGGAAGAATGTAGAAAGGGGCTGGGGCTGGGATCCTAGGAGGCCTCTGGTAGGGCCTGGACCACCAGGCCTTGCTTTGAGCTGCTTGGAGTAGAGAAGGAGAAAAGGCCAGGCGTCCTAGAGTAGCTCCCAGGAAGCTTAGGTCGGAAGTGCCTGCCTCTTGACAGGGGTTAGATTTTTCAGGTCTACTTGATTTTATAAAAAATGTTGTTTTGGGGACCAGCCCAGTGGTGTACTGCTTAAATTTGCATGTCAGTGGCCCCAGGTTTGTGGGTTCAGATCCTGGGCATGGACCTACACACCACACCGCTCATCCAGCCATGCCATGGCAGCATCCCACATATAAAATAGAGGAAGATTGACACAGATGTTAGCTCAACGACAATCTTCCTTACCAAAAAAAAAAAATTTTTTTTCAAATTTTTTGTGGAAAAACTAGACTATTGTGTAGTATTTTACAGAAAAATAGCCTGTTGTATGTGGTGAGGGTGGAAGGAAAGGCATAAAAACGTGTCAAGGACATGATCACAAATAAAGTTATCTGCCTACAAATTAATTTAATTCAAAAATAAACCTGTTAATGTAGCTTAATGGTATAAAACAAGGCACTGAAAATGCCTAGATGAGGGGGCCGGCCCTGTGGCTGAGTGGTTAAGTTCATGTGCTCTGCTGCATCGGCCCAGGGTTTTGCCGGTTTGGATCCTGGGCGCGGACGTGGCACCACTCGTCAGGCCGTGCTGAGACGGTGTCCCACATAGCACAGCCAGAAGGACCCACAACTAAAATATACAACTATGTACTGGGGGAATTTGGGGAGAAGAAGAGGAGGAAAAAAAAAGAAGATTGGCAACAGATGTTAGCTCAAGTGCCAATCTTTAGAGGAATAAAAATGCCTAGATGAGTTCACTTACTCCATAAACATACGAGTTTGGTCCAAGCCTTTCTATTAATTATTAATAATCCTTGATTAGTATATAAATTGACAACTAGGGAATGAGTTACCCTGCCAGCAAGATCAAAGTGCCACACCAAGTGACAGGGGAAGCAGAACCCTCCCTCCCTAGAAAATCCTGGGGGAAACCCAGCTCTGCTGTGTGATACTTACTGTCTGCTCTAAGCCGTTAATTCTCCTGAAGCTTGGCTGCTGAATTACGTTAACCTTCTGCCTGTTCCCTTTCTGTTAGCTAAACTCGAGGAAACCGTGAGTATAGTCAGGCTGTTACGACCAGTGTGTATTTGGTTTGGGGTGTGAGTGGTGTGGTGCTGTCACTCTCCTCCTGTAGCCCAGGGCTCACTTTCATAAAGACACAGATGTCCAGCATTCCGCCCGTGGCTCTTGTCCTCCTGTGTGTCTGTGAACCATCTTCTCTCAAATGCCTCCGTGATTCATCTGAAGAAGCATAACGGTTTCAACACATGCTAAGTCTGTGGGTGGTACCCCTTTTTTTTCCATTTGCATTTTTTCTCTAAGGCTCTCACTCTTGTGCTTTCCCCTCAATTTAGTTGATTGAAAGAATGGCAAATGTAAAATTAAATTGTTCCATCCTTGCTTTTAAAGGTCAGAGAGACATCAATCTACAATCAAAGCATCTTTCCCTTTGACTTGTTTTCCATTTGACCCTTTATGTTAATAATGGCTTCAAGCCCACGTAATTAATCCACTGGCTTAGAGCACCCTCTTTAGGAAAAGAGTGGTATGGCAGGTGTAACCAGGCAGGGAAAACCTTCTCGAATAGCTTGTGTGAGCTCCAGCCACAAGCCTCACCACATCATTGGGTGATCTTAGCCCAAATTACCCTTCATTTCCGCTCTGTAAAGCTTTGAGAGTAAGTGACCAGTTTTATGACTTGTTTGGTTTTGTTTTGATGAAGAACTTTGGAACTTTTGCGTTAAGAGAAGGTAGTGAGCTATGGAAGACAGACAATCGGTAAGTCTTCCTGCATCACCTCTTAAAATCAAATTTATTTATACCTCAGCATAAATTTTTTGAAGAATAGCTAAATTAGTTACATAGGAATAAACTAGTTCTGTTATTTAGCATGATAATAATTTCAAGCAACTGCTTTACTAAGAAAAATCTGTAGATGGTCCCCTCTCCCCCCAAATCTACTTTTTAGCCAGTGATTTCATTCTCTTTTTACCCCATCTAATCTGACCAGTGGTAAAAATTAACACTTTCACTCAGGAAAACCTTGTTGAGTGTCTGGCCTTGTACAAATTAGGGTTCTTTTTTTTTTTTTTTTTTTTTTTTTTTTTATTGCGTTAATGATAAGTTACAATCTTGTGAAATTTCAGTTGTACATTATTGTCTGTCAGTTGTGTTGTACGTGCAACCCTTCATCCTTTGTGCCCACCCCCCACCTCACCTCTCCCCTGGTAGCCACTAATCTGTTCTCTTTGTCCACATGTTTAAATTCCTCATATGAGTGCAGTCATACAGTGATTGTCCTTCTCTATCTGGCTTATTTCACTTAACATAATTCCCTCAAGGTCCATCCATGTTGTTGCAAATGGGACGATTTTGTTCTTTTTTTATGGCTGAGTAGTATTCCATTGTGTATATATATATATATATATATATATATATATATATATCTCATATCTTCTTTATCCAATCATCTGTTGATGGGCACTTAGATTGCTTCCACATCTTGGCTATTGTAAATGCTGCAGTGAACATTGGGGTGCATGGGACTTTTGGAATTGCTGACTTCAAGCTCTTTGGATAGATACCCAGTAGTGGGATAGCTGGATCATATGGTAGTTCTATTTTTAATTTTTTGAGGACTCTCCATACTGTTTTCCATAGTGGTTGCACCAGTTTGCATTACCACCAGCAGTGTATGAGGGTTCCTTTTTCTCCACAATCTCTCCAACATTTGTTACTATTTGTTTTAGTTATTTTTGTCATTCTAATGGGTGTGAGGTGATATCTTCGTGTAGTTTTGATTTGTATTTCCCTGATTTAGGAAAAGCCTGGTAACGATCAGCGATGATGAACATCTTTTCATGTGCCTATTGGCTGTCTGTATATCTTCTTTGGAGAAATGTCTGTTCATGTCTCCTGCCCATTTTTTGATCAGGTGGTTTAATTTTTTGTTGTTGAGTTGTGTGAGTTCTTTTTATATTATGGATATTAAGCCTTTGTCGGATGTATTACTTGCAAATATTTTTTCCCAGTTAGTGGGTTGTCTTTTTGTTTCGATCCTCTTTTCCCTTGCCTTGAACAAATTAGGGTTCTTTTTAACTCATTCAGTATAGTTGATAAGTGCCTCATAGGAAAATCAAAGCAATAACTCGCCAGTGAAAACTTTTTAGTTAAATTTTCTTTTACCCTGGAGTACTGTCTGTGGATAAATTCTCAGATCACCAAGGGGTGTCACACACAGTCTGAACACAGTCTTATACTTCAGTGGTCAGTAAATATGATGTGGGGAGTCACGCGTTCCCTCTGGTCAGCTGCTTTGCTGGACTCTAGAGAATAGACATTTTCAGCTGGTCTTTGCAGAAGTGTGTGTGGATGTCCCTCCTGGCCCGGCTGTTTTGGTGACAAGGCCTCTCCACCATTCTGTCCTTCCAGGTGATGACACATCTCCATGTGATTGAGGAAAGAAGGAACCAGAGCCTCTCCCTGCTCTACAAAGTACCTTATGTAGCCCAAGAGATCCAAGAGGAGATTGGTGGGTGCTGCCTGTGTTTGTATCGAGGGCAGGTGGGACTTCTTGCTAAGGCTCGGGAGTGACGGCAAACAGGACAAGCGAGGCCACGAAGCTGGCATTAGCACGCCATGGTTTTAGAAGTCTGGACTTCACTGGAGCTTACGTGGCAGGGTCAAGTCCTGGCTGTGAGCCACAGAGCCTTGAGTTTCATTGACCTTCACTCTGTTACCGGAAGAAAAACCTGGGGTGTGAAATTGCAAGGGAATGAGGGTGTCTCCTGTTACCCTTTTTCCTTTCATTACTGATGTGTTTCAAGGCACCTATGTTACACACATCCTCACGTGATTTCCCTCTTCTGGTCTTTATCTTTTTTATTTACTCAACAAATATTTATTGTGTACACTGTGTGTCACAGAGTAAAATGGTACATGAGTAGACAGTATCTCCTGGAGCCTGGTTATAGTAGGGGAGAAACAGACAGGAAAACAGCTGTCAGGCCATGTTGAGTGCTGTGGAGGGAGGTGGAACTGGGGATGGAAGGGTGGAGAGTGGCTAGTGGTCAGGGAGGCCGTCTCGGGGACAGTAACCTGAGATCCAATGCTAAGAAGGGGCTGTCCACGCAGAGACCACAAGGGGAAGAACATTGTTAGCATAGGAAATGACTATTGCAGAGACCTGAAGTTTAAATCAAGCGGGCACGTTTGAGTAGATCAGGGTCGCTAGAGCATAGGGAGAAATGAGCCACAGAAGTAGGCAGAGGCCAAATTGTTAAGAGATTTTAGCAAAATCTGGAAGTTTGGACTTTATTCTATGATAATGGAAAGCCATTAGAGGGTTTTAAACCTAGTGAGTGGCTAGATCTGGATTATGCTTTAAAAAAGAAAGGAAATTAAAAAAAGAAAATTACTTGGCTGTTAGGTGGAGAATTGATTAAAATTGGAAACCTCCCAGGAAGTGATTGTAACAATTCAGGAGAGAGATGATGGTTGTGTGCCCTGAGATGGTAATGGAGGAAATGAAGATTTCGATGAGGATGGTCTTCAGGCTATTTTCAGAGGAAGGGTGACAGGACGTGCTGATGCCTTGGATGGGGGCGGTGAGGGGGAGGGGAGCATCAAAGATAATGCGCAGGTTTTCATTGTGAGCGACTGAGTGGATGGTGGCACCAAGTTTTAATGAGGTAGAGTGTTCTCTTTATACATATCAAAATAGAAATTGCTGTTGGGCACTAAGTGCTGGTGTAAGGTAGGCCATTAGATGAGCCAGAAGTTGGGGCAGTAGATACAAGATACAGATTTGGGAGTCATGTTATGTGGATGGTATTTAATACTGTGCCGCTGGATGAAGCCACTTAACCAAGGTGAGTCGATAGAGAAGAGAGGGGTGCCAGGGGTGGAGCCCCAGGTTCTACAGTGCTGCAGAATTGGGAGGGTGTTTCAGGTGGGAGGGAGGGGGTCGTTGACTGCCTTGTGAGCTGGTGGGGGCGCTCCCCTCGGCAGATCTCACGTTCTATAATGGCACACATTAGCTTTGTCCAGACTGTTGGTCCTGTGCCTAGAAACTAGATCCTTCTGAAGACCTGGTTCCCTGCCCTATCTGTCTTGTCAGATGAGCTACTTCAAGAACAGCGTGCAGACATGGACCAGTTCACTGCCTCGCTTTCAGAGACGCCCGTGGACGTCCGGGTGAGCTCTGAAGAGAGTGACGAGATCCCGCCGTTCCGCCCCTTCCATCCCTTCCCATCCCTCCCCGGGGATGAAGGTGTGTATGATTGACAGCACAACTTCTTGGCGGTGGCGTGAGGGAGGGAAGAGTGCAGTTAGAAGACTGAAGTCAGATTTTTGACCCTGAGTTGTGTTGGGGAGGCTGTGCTCCTGGGAACAGTCAGGAGCAGGGCAAGGCAGACTCGGTTCCTTGAGCACCTACCGTGTGCAGCAGATCGTTGGTTTCAGGGTCACCCTGAGGTTAGTGATATTTCTCCCATTTTAGAGACAGTGTGCTCAAAACCCACTGTTTTTCCTGGTCCTACCAGCTGCTCCAGTGTGGAAGGCACTTTGCAGTTTAGATAGCACTTTCCTGTTACATTGTGTCATTATCTTTTCGTAACAATTGTGGAAGGTGGGGAATGGGGAGGCTAAAGAGGTGACTTGCTCAAGGTCACACCTCTGCTGCTACGTGGGGACAAGAAGCTATGTCCGTCTGACTCCCAGTCAGGCGTGCCTGCTTCTTTCCCTTGCTGGTTCTTGATGTCTAAAAGGATCTCTAAGAGCTGTGGGTCTGCATCAGAAATAAACAAGCTGCTGAGACTGATGCCTTCAGGCCGGGTGTGGAATCGGATTCTATTTATTTGTCTGCTGCTGTTGCTGCTGCTGATGGTGGTGGTGATAAAAATAGTGGCCACAGCTATAGAGTTCTTATCATAGGCCAGCTTTAGCTAAGCATCGTGCATGGATGCTCTCATTTAATCCTCAAAATAACCCTCTAAGGTACATACTGGAAGTGTCCCCATTTGGGGATTCCAAGGTTTAGAGAGGTTAAGTGTCTGCCCAGGGTCTCGTAGCTTCTAGGTGGGGAGTAAGGATTTGAAGCCAAGCCGATATGGTCCTGCAGTCCTAGGTATGGTCACTTCCCTCTGACCAGAGATAGTAGTGCTGGAGTGGAGGCCGGAGGACGACGCCGAGTAGGGAGGAAGGGGGACATCCCACTTGGCCTTCAGACTTGTAAGCTGGTCATCTCAGAGGTACCAGCTCAGTGAACTTGAGCCTCCAACAGTACAACCACCTGAGAAAGGAGCCGGATAAATAAAGAGGTCACTGCGTTCCAGAAACTTGCTCTTAACCAGTCCCACAGCTCCCTGGGGCTGCGGGCTGGCCATGCGCACACAGCTTGTTTGGGGGATGGGCATCTTGGGCGTACCTGAGCTAGTACCGTGTCTCCTTTTCAGGAAACCACAATCTATACTAACTTCTGTTTTTGTTATTTTCTAAGAAAAATATCTGTGAGCTAAGTGAAATAATTTGGGAATCTCATAGAATTTCCCCCAACAGACCCCCTTCTTTCTCTCCTACCTTCCGCGTATTTGCTGTGGATCTAACTGTTGGTTTGTTTATGGGATATTTCAGGCATGGTTTTTAAGGAGGAATACTTTTTGTTCACATTATAGAGAAATTCTAAGATAGGAATTTTGAAAGAAGCCGTTTTCTTTCTTAATCTCCTTTTGTGCTGTTTTGTTTTCATTGTTTTCCTTTCTGCTAGACACTCAACCGGAGTTGTACCGCCCAATGAGAAAAGGTTGGTTTGTCACAGATGTTCCCGTGAGACCTTCATTCTGTCTCCACTTGCCCCGTGTGTTGGAAGTTCCATGTTCTGTTTCATTCCATCACCTGGTTTTTCCACCTCATTTCTTCAGACGTGGCTGTGAGTGGAGCCAGAGTGGCCCTGTCTCCAGCACCTAGAACCCAGTGTCAGTGGTACTGGATGCGAGGTGGCCGTCCTGAGCTTTCCTTCTTGGTGTCCAGAGAATACAGAGTAGCCTGAGTAGCTTTTTCATAAATCCTTTTAATCTGGGTAGACTTTTAAAAGTATATCCAATTTAAGCAGTTTGGTTGCAAATTGCTGGTGTATATAAGTGTAGAAGAAACACTTAATTTACAGTCAGGTGGAGAGTCATTTTCTTTTGCTCCTTTTCTTTTCTCTGCTGTTCCCACCTACATCCTTTTCCTTTCTCTTTAGCTGCCCCTTGCCCTCTGTCTGTGCCCACCTGTCTGTTGCCAGTTGTCTCGTGTTCCCTCTGTTACAGCATTCCTCAAAACGCAGTGGAAGCTGCTGATGAAACAGCGTGGGTCAAGCGAACGCTCGCTGTACTGAGTCTCCAGGTTTCAGGAAAAGTTAATACTCTGTAACACTGTGCATACTTCATCTCATTTTTTTTTTTTAAATATGTTTATTTATTTATTTATTTATTTTTTTTAAAGATTTTATTTTTCCTTTTTCTCCCCAAAGCCCCCCAGCACATAGTTGTATATTCTTCGTTGTGGTCCTAGTTGTGGCATGTGGGACGCTGCCTCAGCGTGGTTCGATGAGCAGTGCCATGTCCGCGCCCAGGATTCGAACCAACGAAACACTGGGCCGCCTGCAGCGGAGCACGCGAACTTAACCACTCGGCCACGGGGCCAGCCCCCATACTTCATCTCATTTAAGCCACCCAGCACAACTGTAGTGGGATTTTTAGCTTCCCTCTATGGATTAGGCCATTGAAGGAGCCTTAGAGTTCACATGATTGGCTCAAAGGCATGAGTTTAAGAAGTGGAGGACTTGGAGTTTGGACCCAGCTCCCTCTGTCTTCAAAGCCCATGCTGTTTGTGTAACAAAATGCCAGTGTCAGGGCCAGCCCGGTGGCGCAGTGTTTGAGTTCACATGCTCTGCTTCGGTGGCTCGGGTTTGCTGGTTTGGATCCCGGGCACAGACCTGCACACCGCTTATCAAGACATGCTGTGGCAGGCATCCCACATGTAAAATAGAGGAAGGTGGGCACAGATGTTAGCTCAGGGCCCATCTTCCTCAAAAAAAAATATAAATAAATAAAAATTAAAAATAAATAAAATAAACAGCCACCATCGGCCGCCGACTCTCCCTGGTTGTTGAGTGGTCCACAGGCTCCAGGGTCATTGTAATAAGTTGAAA